TTAATTGTAATATTTGGGTTAATCATTTACAACATTATCACTTTTCAAATGTTGCAATCAAAATATGATTACAATAAATGATAATAGTTTTGCTTGATATTTGATTGGTTTGGTAATTTTTTTTATCTTGGCTTCAAGTTGCAACAATTTACTAACCATTTTCCTATTGATTGATTATTGGTTAATTGTTTAACAATTTAAAAGACGATTAAGGTTAATAACAATGGTAATTGTCAAGGTGAAGATTAAAAAAAAAGGTTAACCAGATAATCAAAGGTTATTCAAGGTGTTAAATCAGTTGGTTTTGACAGAATTGTTGACAGAATTAAATTGAGATTCTCATTAGCAAATGTATTGATTAGCTTTTTACTCATTAATAAAGATCAGTAACAATTTAGATTTGCAGGCAAGAGAATGATGGTATTTGGGTGTGTGTGGGTATTAGATAGTTGATTAAGTTCTAATCACAATGGAAGAAGAAAAAGTGTTGCAAATTAATGGCTACAATTAATTTCGAAAGAGGATAATTGTGCTTTCGAAACTATTGATGTAAAAGAAAAGTTGCAATTTCGATGGAGAAAGAGAGAGAAAAATCGAAGAGAGAGAGAGAAAAAAAAGTTCTAATAGTTTCTTATTCGAAAAGTGTTTTAAACTTTTTCGTAAACTCATTTAATCGCAGTTTTAGTTTATTGGAAAAGATCAAAATTAAATATTATTATTATTTCTTCACCATAGGAAGAAAAAGCAAATTCAATCCCTTCCAATTCATTAGAATATTTTTCAAGGTATTATCTCATTTTCCTCTCACTGTAAAATTCATTACTACTCATTCATTATCCCTCATGGTGTTTTTTTTCACTCCTTTTCTGTTTCTTATTTGTTTTTTTCTTCATCTCTTCTCTCATACATCTTAATATCACCATGAATTGGAATCTTTTTCCCAGAGCAATTAAATCAAACATAGATTAACATCTTCCTTGTCACAATTTCAATTCCATTGCTATTCATCAATCATTTCTCTCACTCTCTATCTCTCATGAACTAGGAAATTAATATTTCTTTCATCATCATAACTTTTGTAATCAATTCAGAAAATGATACATGAGATTGAATTTTGAATGGAACGAAAAGAAAAAGGGAAACAGAATCAAACTTTTATCGTACATACAAATTGAATTGGAAAAAAAAGTTGATCAATTTCACAGTTTTTCTCTATATTTGTACTCATGGTAATTTCAAGGTTCTACAATGATCATGGTAAACGTTGAATCTTTCAACAAAAAAGCTCAGAATTTATCCAGTTTTAGCTTGCCTTCCAATCCATTGAGAGTTTCATTTATTAATAGTCTGAATCAGGGGGAATGGTAAATATTATCATGTTGAGAGTAAAATTTCAAATTTATTTCGTAATATAATACACATAAACTATCAGTTGACATTCAGTACTCAGATTATTCTGATAAATGTTCATTAGTTTTCCATAGTCTTTCAATTAATATAATTCCAGTAAATATTTACCTTGTTGTTTTATTTAATCTCTCAGTGTACTAAAACTATTCAAGTTTTCATGATGATTGTTCTTGTCATCGATAATAGATTATTCCGATTCAATTGTAGTTGAATTTCACCTAAATTTATATTCTGATTGCATGATTAAAGGTGAAAAATTAATCTAATCAACTCTCGATGATTTATATATATTGATTGTTGATACCAATATAATACAATCATTGAATACAAAATGAGCTGATGAAAAAAAAGGAAACAAAAAAAAAGTTCAACTTGTATCAATTACTCAGGTAATATTTCACATGATTGATTGGATGATATTTTTCACCATCAACATCACCATGTAACTCTGGCAATTTATTACTCGTTATAAAGCTACTTGAAACTGTCAGCAAATGATTTAATCATCATGTTGCATATTCATACTCATAGTGACTTATTAAAGTGTCTGAACTTTTTTTTTTGAATGGATGAGGAACAAAAGAAAATAAAAATAGTAACATTTTCATCAATGAAACTGATTAGTTTTGATTAACTTTTTGTGTGTTGAACATTAGATTGTCAATGATTGAACTGGATTAGATGTGACAGGACAATGGATAAAGTTAGTGGTCAAGAGATTAGCTTGGAAAGGGTCGACTGCTATTAAGAGGTGTTGATTGTAAACTTTACATGCATTAATAGGATGTGTATGTTTTCAATTGTTTCTGATGATGGTTAACTTAATAAGGAAGACAAATTGTTCATCTCAACTGTATTAGTAGTACTGGAATTGGGGAGAAAACAATATATAATCAAGAATCATGGTGATAAAAAATAAACACGGTGGGAATAAAATCGTAACACGTAGTTTCAAATTCAACCCACAGGAAGAAAAATATAACTCCAAATAATGATAACCTTGGGAACAATATAACACTTACCATGTAACTCATCCTCTTTTCCTTCATCCTTTTCCTGTTGTTCATTTTCATCCTTTTTTATCTCTTATCCTTTTCTTACTCATCATCATCTACCATCTCTCTCTTTCTCGCTCGCTCTTCTCATCTCTTCACCTAACACAAAAGTTCAGCTATTAAATTCTGGTTATTTATCTGTCGCATTTTTCATTGGAAATTCAATCCTCTCAATCATTGTTTTCTGTAAACTTCATCGACTTCCGGTTCTGTTCTGATCTTTTCCTTCATCTTTTTCAAATCTTTCTCTCTCTCTCTCTCTCTCTCTCTCTCTCTCTCTCTCTCTCTCTTTCTCTCTCTCTCTCTCTCTCTCTCTCTCTCTCTCTCTCTCTCTCTCTCTCTCGATCGTATTTTTTACTTCGCCTTCTCCTTAGTTTCAGTTGATTACTTTGAGATAGTTCAGATATCATTGGAAAAAATAAAACGAAAAGTTATCAATTACGAATTTTTGACAATTCTTTTTGCTCCCTTTGTTTCTTATGGAGAAAAAGATGGAAACGAAAAGTTGATCATCATTTTCCTACTTTTTCTTCTTGTTCTCTCAGCTAAAGTTCTTGATAGAAAATGATAGAATTATTTTCATGGGATGGGGAAAGAAAAAAAAGAATAATAAAATCGCATATAAATAAATCATCATTGGAAGATTAGAATCTTTTTCTCTTTTATCTTCTTCGTCTTCTTCTTTCGTTCTCTCTTTTTTTTCATTCGAAAAAAAAGAAATCGAAAGAAGGTCTCATGGAAATTGCATGTTTATGCCTCATGGAAAAATAAGAAGGAGAATGAGAGAAATGTAAGAAAATTACCTGAGAATGTAAATCATGGAATGAACAAAAGTAACTGTAAAAAGGTTTCCTTATTTATATATGTGGGTGGGGTTGGTGGATTGGACGATGTTTAAATCATGATTGAAATGATTCCCATGGAAAATGTAACCATCATCACTTTGAATAAACATTGAATGATGATAAAGATTAATATTGAAAAGGAGACTCGGTGAAATGAATAAAAAATCAGTTGGATTAACAGATCAGAAAAAAAAATCGGTTCATAGTTATGTAAATAAATACATAGCTTATTGTGGTGGTCAGCTGAATAAGAGTGGACAATAACATGATAACCATGAAAGTATATGATAGATAAGATTATCATGTGAATAGATATTGGCTCAGATTTCAGTTCAATCAAAGAATAAATTTCTAAAGAAATTAGAGTTTAATTTTAAAGAATTAAAAAGTTACTCCATCTTCTCAAAGGAATCGAGTATTCATTTCATGTGATTCATTGAATTTAGTTCATTGAAAATTCATGTCAACTTTTTCTTACCACCAATCTAATGAGCTCAGCATCAAATCATTTGCTCGAGTTTCTCTCGATATATCGATAAGTCCAAGTTCCATGGTTCCATGGAAAATGTTCTGATCGGAATTAAAGTTTTAACGATAAAATCTTTCATGTTTATCGAATAATTTTTTTTTCTTTCTGCACAATATTAATATTCATTAAGTAATACTTTCTTTTATCTCTACTATTCAATGGAAATCCCTTCAGGGTAGATTGAAATTTTCTTTGTTTCTATTGTAAAAGGAAACTATTTTAATCTTAAAAGTTATTTGAAATCAATCATGTTATTATTACTCAGAATTACATGAGAATTGTTTTTAATAAAAATTAAGGAAAAGTTTATCAATTATTAATAACATTTAATTTGATAACATTAATCATCTGATTATGTAAATCATAAATATTACATCAATTCTTTAAAAAGGAAAATTGTTATTCTATTATCATTATTTATTATCTAGAGTTCTGGTTTCAAATAATTAAGATTCATGCAATTTAAATTCACAATTAACACATAATCATATCAAATGGTTGTATCTAATTTTCCCAATTTAATCTCAATTAATTAAAGGCCAATGATTAGATAATTAATACAAGAAACAACTCACCTTATTATTATTAATAATAGAATAGATTTTTTTGTGATAAAGTAATTATAATCTAGATATTAAATTCACAATTAAATTGACACTAACAAAACCGATGAATTAATGAGAATCATGAAGAATGAGGATATTGATGAAAAGTTTAATCGTTCAATATTTAATAAACAATTAGTGATTAAATTGTTATTGATTAAACACACACACACACACCGATCACAATTGGATAAACTTGATAATTAGTAGAGTTGAATAAATATATATTCATATATAAGAATCCAAGTGATTAGATGAAAGTTTGACATTAAACTGAAACTGAAATTCTGAAAGTAAGAACTGAGCGAAAGATATAAAAAGTTGAAGTTCTATGACAAGAGATGGCGCTTTTTTGAAATTCTTTTTTTTTCAGAGAAAATGAGAGGCGCCATCTCTCGGTTTCCAATTGAAATTTTGTTCGATTTGAATGTTAATTGTGATTTATTATTATTATTAATTACGTTGATTCACATATTGATTGTTGAATAAATTGTGAGCCAAGATTGATAATAATCGTTGAGTGATTATCATTAATGCAAAACATTTGCTAAATTGATTCAGATTAATGAACTTTATTTGTTGATTTTTCTTGATTCACAATTTGATATTAATGAGAGACTTTAATTCAATTAAGCAACTCTATTAATATTCTGGAAATTAATCGGTAGGAATATTGATAATTTATATTTGTTTCAGAGTTTCTACTCCATGGAATCATGCTGATGATAGTGATTCGAAAGGATTTGATTAGTGTATTAAATTGGACATTGATTTATTATCCTCGAAAGTTTAACTGGAAACTAATCCAACTTTTAAATCATCGACCATTGAGAAATCAAATTGGTCAGTTTTAAAGTCAAAAAGTGGCTTGGCAATATTTTCACTCTCTTTTCCAGGTTGATAGGGGGGAGAGTAAAGGCAAACCGTATAGATACCACCTCCATGTTGACCAGCAGATCGAGCTTGACCACAGCCATATTGTTGAGTTGTTTTTGAAACAATGTTGACAAAATGTTGAACATTAGGTGTAAAAATTGGATTCTCATAATTATATGATTTCTCCTCTTGGACATACCAATTGGTCAACACTTTAACAGCTGATACAGCATCTTCTGGATTAGATTGATAGTAAACGTTTTCAGCAACATCGTTGTCATGCTCTTCCGGTGGTGGAGCATTTTCATACCATGCACGTACCACAGCACGATGACGAGCTGCAGTAATCAACTGGACACACAAACAAATCGACGGACAAATGGATAAAGAAAATGTGATTCATTCAGAAAATTCATAAGATTTTCATTAACATGAAGAGAGAGAGAGAGAGAGAGAGAGAGAGATTAATCTTACCGTTTCATTTGGATATAATTCAGAGACACCATGGCGAAGCCGAATGGCCTGATGAATTATATCAAGATCTTGAAAAAATGACCAATCAACATTTTCCGTGATAATATGAATACGATCATCAACTAATTCAGTTCGTTGTAGATGATTACAGTTAACCAACAAGCTAATTAAAGGTAAAACTGTTAAAAATTTGATAACAATCATAATGGTTCCAAATTGATTGGTTGTAATGTAAAGTCAAATACGACAATTAAATGAAAGTTAATTGGCTCTTTATAGAGACAATTAAAACTAATTGCTTGTTACTTTTATTCCCGTTAATTGTAGTAATGGTTTTTGTTTAATTACCACAATCTAATCATTTATTCAAAAAGTTTCTCATCTGTTTCCATCAGTTTTAAGCTGTAATCTCTCAAACCATCTGATTATTTGGGATAAAGATTTTTACTAATTAAACAAGAGTTAATTAACTTTCAAGGACTGAGGATTAACTGGTAATCAAGTATTATCATTATCATTATGGTGACAATTAAATTTTAGACAAAGGTAATTGATTATATTGCACTAAAATGCTTCATGTTTTATTTTGTAATTTTTTTTTTAAATATTTTGCCAATCGGATTAACCGATTAACACTCAGCCTCCAAATTCAGACAAAAGTTACAATTGTTATTAATCAATTTGGTTCACCATAAAATCTTGATCTTAATTGTTTTGTTTTTTTTTTATAATGATCGATTGTAATTTGATTATTAAATATAAGAGACACAAATAAATTAAAAGATGATTTTCAAATAAAATGATCAATCAATTAAAAATCTAAATCAATTACAACTTGCTCGATGTTTTCAATTTACTAATTATCGTTGGTGTAAATTTTTTGTTGCTGTCGTCGTTGTTGTTGTTGTCGTTGTTGTTGCTGTTGTTGTTGTTGTTTGTGTTGTTGTTGTTACTGTGATTGCAAGTTGATTGTTTACTCTAATTAGATCTTAATCATGATCAGAATAAGGTTGAGCAGTTTTGGGTGGAAAAAGAGAGATAGAGAGAAAGAGAGAGAGAAAAAAATGGGCCAATATGAATTTTCAGCGAACCTCAGGATTTTCATGTAAATTTAAATTTCTCTTTGGCTTCGGTGTGTCTTCTTGTTGTATTATTATTGTTTTCCGATCTGAGGTGCTGTTGATGGGAGGTTGTTGTTGTTATTGTTGTTGTTGTTGTTGTTGTTGTTGTTGATCTTTGTGGTGATGGTTGTGGTGAGAGAGAAAGAGGTGGAAAAAGGTCAGAATGTCCTTTTGTAGTTCGCAAATGACCATCCTGAATCTTATGGAATTTAGTCTGCATGTTGCTGAGCCCGTGCCTTTGGAAGTCCAGGCTAAATTGATTGGGAAGAGAAAATGATTAAAAGTTAGTTGATTATTATGATTATATGAAAAATTAGCTCATTTGATATTATTATCATGTAATACTTACTCCTGGACTCATGGCTCGACTAGCTGAAGCAGAGCTTCGGTTTCTCGCTCTCAATTTAGCTAAAGCATTTTCTGCCATGTCAGCTCGTTCCTCAGCATCTTCCAATTCTTGTTGAACTTTTCGGAATTTAGCCAAGTTAAGGGCAGCAATTTCTTCAGCTTCTTCAATTTGTCTCTTGTAGGTCTTAATCTTTTGTTGAAGTTTATCAACCAGATCTTGCATTCGCTCTTGGTTCTTACGATCTTCCTCTGATTGGAATTGAAGTTCCTTAAGGCGTCTTTCAGCCTTTCGTAAGTTCTTAGCAGCATCACCGTGCCTTCTTTGCTCAGATTCAAGCTCTTGTTCCAATTCTCGAACCTTTTGTTCCAATTTCTGGATAACCTTCTTACCTCCCTTAAGAGCAGCTTGTTCAGCTTCATCAAGTCGAACTTGTAATTCCTTGATTTGTTGTTCCATTGCTTTCCTCATCTTCTCTTGTTGTTGAGCGTGCTCTTGTTCAGCTCGTAACTCATCAGCCAATCGAGCGGCATCAACCATTGCCTTCTTAGCCTTTTCTTCTGACTGTTTAGCCTCATTCAACATTTCGTCAAGATCGGCTTGTAAGGCTTGCATTTCTCCTTCCAATTTCCTCTTGGCCATTGAAAGTGATGCATTTTGAGCGGACAATTCATTGTTAGCTTCATGAAGTTCACCGTTCTCTTGTTCAGCGTTTCGTCGAGCTCGGTCAGCCTTTAAAAGGTTGAAAAAATAAATTAAATTGATTAGCATTTGAAAAGAGTAATAGAAAGTAAAACTAATTAGAACTTACTTGTTCAAGAAGCTGTCGAGACTCTTCAAGCTCTCCATGAAGGGCATTGCATCGTCTCTCAGCCATGGCGTATTGCTCTCGAGCTTCATCTCGAGCTCTTTGTTCCTCTTCCAATGATGTTTGAAGATCTTTGATCATTTGTTGATATTTCTTAATAGTCTTTTGAGCCTCAGCATTGGCCTTATTGGCATGGTCCAAAGCGATCTCAAGTTCATTGATATCAGATTCAAGCTTCTTCTTCATCCTAAGTGCCTCAGCCTTACCTCTGGCTTCAGCCTCAGTGATGCTTGCATTGAATCGAGGGCTCGTTGATGGTTCTTTCGTGTATTCTCAAATTCTTCCTCCTTCTCTTGGAGACGTCGGTCAATTTCTTGTCGAACTTGAGATAATTCAAGTTGAGCTCGAAGAACCTTATTCTCTTCTTGTTCCAAAGCAGCTTCAGCTTCTTCCAAAGCAGCTTGTAATTCTTCCTTCTCCATTTCAAGTCTCTTCCTCATCTTCTCAAGCTCATGAACTGATCGTCCACCTTCACCTAATTGGTCCATAAGATCCTTAATCTCATCTTGAAGGTTCTTGTTCTCCCTCTTAACGGCTTCATAATGTTCTTGTGATTCCTCGTATAAGGCTCGAAGTTTAAATAATTCGGTTGAATAGTTTCTACATTCTTTCTGTGAAGCATCTAATTCAGCAGCCAAATCGTCAACCTTGTGTTTCCAGTCAGCGACAATCTTATCGAAGTGTTTCTGTTTCTTCTCAAGAGAAGCAGCCAATGAATTGGCCTTTTCAACTTCGATTGACATGTCTTCGATTTCACCTTGGAGTCGTTGTTTAGTCTTCTCCAAGCCTGAACATTTGGCATTAAGTTGTTCGATATGTTCCTCTGATTCTTGTAATTTAATTTGTAACTTCTTCTTAGATTCTTCCAATTCCTCCAATCGAGCCAAACCTTCAGATTCAAATTTGGTTCTCCAAGCGGTAATCTCAGCATTGGCCTTAGATAATTGTCGTTGTAAATCGGCTTTACCCTCGGCTTCCTCTTCCAATTGTTCTCGTAATCCGTCCAAATCGTGTTCCAAGTTTCTGAATTTACCCATGATTGCAGCTCGTTCCTAGAAAATTGTACAAATTGTTGATCAGATGAACATTCATCTCAAAGTTTATTCGATTGCAGTTCGAACAATACTTACTCTACTTTCTTCATCGGCAGTTCTCTTGGCTTCTTCGAGTTGTGATTGGAGTGATGCCTTCAATTTACCAAGTTGGTTAACCTGTGATTCGGCTTCTTCCAATTGTCGTTGTAATTCACCATTTTCGACGGCGAGTTTCTTCTTGGAAGCATCGAAATCTCCTAATGTTCGGTTCTGTTCGTCAATCTTGTGCTGTAATTCACCTAATTGCATTTCTATTTGTTTATTCTGTTTCTCAAGATTGGCCTGATTAATAGCATAAAAAAAATTCGAAAAAGAAAGAAAAAGTTAAATTAGCATAAGTTGAATGGAAAAAGAATATGAAAAAAAAGAGTATCAAAGAGAGTGTGAGATGAATTTCTAGATGAATGGTTCTTTTTTATATTCCTATTTTCTGTAGAATTTCAATTCCAAGTGATTCGTAATCCACCAATTTCGAGCATTGAAACGATCACCACAATTGAAAAGAAGGAAAAAAAACTGTACCTGGTTCTTAGTGGAATTGTCAACAACGGCTTGAAGATCTTGATTCTCAGCGGCTAAAGTTGCTCTCTCCTTCTCTAATCTGAATAGTTGATCAGATTAGTAAAAATTGAGCACAAGAAATAAAAAAGAATATGGAATCGACTGTGAATATCATTTTTCTACCTCGTAATCATAATTATACCACAAATAATAATCATTGGCAAAAAAGCAACACCAATAAGCAGAAATAAGCACAAGTCTATTTGCGTCTTCAATAAGCTCATTTTAGTATTTTCATTGTAGCGAAGGGAAAAACAAGTCAAGCAGCCATATTGAGATCGTAGTCTCATTTAATATTGAAGCAGAATTGATTGATTGATTTAATCATCATCATGATTTTCGGAGAAAGAGAAAAGTATTTATACCCATTCATCAATTTCTTTGGTCGGATGGATAAGGAAGGTGAAATATTGAGGAAAGAAAAATTCAATTATGGTTAAATTATCATGAACAATCAATTCCATTGAACTAATATTTATACAAGAATTTCAAATCAATTCTCTTAACGATAATTATCATTATATTTTCTCTGAGAATGGAAATGAATTTTGTATACATGATAATCTAAGCCAAAAATTGTCTACTTTTCCATCGTTATGTTACCTTATCTTTAGCGACATGATCCATTCCTGTCTTCATGTCATCAAGTTCACCCTTCATTTGTTGTTTCTCTTTCTCGATCCTTAATTAATTGTAACGATCGTACACAATTTAGGTAATTTAAGCCAAAAGCAATTTCGTATAGCAGCAAAGCAATTGAATAGCAAATTGAAAAGCAAAAGCAAAAGACAAGTTCAATCAAATTGAGAGATCAGATTATAAGCATCGGAAATCAATAGTTATCAGTGATTATCACTAATTGTTACCTCGGAAAATTAACTGGAATTTATTGATTGTTAAAAACGTTGGGATAACTTTAGTTGGATCAAGTTGATTAATAGTTAGTGTTAATCAAGGTAAACTGGATCATCTCTTGCAGCATATTAAAGTGGATTAGATATTGTGTTAGTTATATTTTTTTGTAGCAATTTTTGGAAATCAAATTGATTGGAAACTTACTTGGCCTTTATCTTGACTACATTGTCGAGCTGTTCTGAAAGTTCAGCTACAGCATCATTGTGTTTCTTTCTAAGGGCAGCCATGGCTTGTTCATGTTGAAGGTTTGACTCTTCAAGATCGCGTCTAAGCTTAGCAAGCTCAGCTTCACGTCTCTTGTTAAGTTCAATTTGTGAGGTTGTTGCTCCTCCGGCCTCTTCGAGACGTTCAGATAACTCTTCAATCTCTCGGGCTAAATCAGCTCGTTGTTTTCAGCCTTAGCTCGAGCTTGTCGTTCAGCTTCAAGCTCCTCTTCAAGCTCTTCAATTCGTGACTAGAGTAGAATAGAATAAGAAAGATCGTTGTTAGATATTGATTGATGTTTCTTTTCTTGTAACTGAATGGATAAAAAAAAACTGATTGATCATTTGGACACATTCGAAGTGAAATAATTGTAACAATATATAAATTGTTGAATAAAAGCACAATTGTAATAAAACATTACTTCATAAAGAAAGTGAGCAACTCGAGGTGATGCATTGTACATTGGCTCTTGAGCTTGTCGAACTACTCGTTTACTTTCAAAGCTCAACGAAGGATTTGGTGACATGTATGGAGCCTTTTGTGAGTATGGGTAATGAGTTTTAGGATCCAAGAATTGACCTTGAGGGGCAGTTAAGGAAGTTCAGTAGATGAAGTTGGTTGATGATGATCGTTACTCTCCGATAGTGTTGGACTAGAATCTTGATAAGGACTATGATGTTTACCAATTGGACTAACTGAGAATGCTGGAGGTGAATTGGGCTCTTCAGAACTTAACTGTTGTATCAATATTCCACTACCAGATCCGTGTCGAATTAAAGTTGGAGGTCGAGAAAAAGTGACCTCTGATATTGGATCAGGAGAGTCTGAAGGTTCAGTTACTTGAAAATTATCTTCAAATTCAAGATTCGAATCCATTTTTTTTTGTTGTTGTTGATAACAAAGTCAAAAATAAAAGTTAAACTTGCGAAAGAAAAAGTTTCAAAAGAAAATGGAAAACTATTACGATAATTTCGTTCGTTCAATTGATTCACAAGTTCGATAAAGTTCAATGTGATTAAGTTACACTTTCAAGTAAAAGGTAAACAAAGAATAGAAACTGATACTTGAAGATGTTATTCAATAGTGAAGATGAGAGAAAACTGTTCAAGGGAATGTGATGAAAAGAAGGCAGCAGCTCATGAATTCTGGTGATTTCGATGATTGAAATTCAGTGACAAGTCTTTGGGTTCATCTATTGAACTAATTCACTAGTAGTAGAGGGAAAAGTTTATTCTAAGAAGAGCCTCAAATAGAAAATGAAAGAGCAAGAGAGAGAGAGAGAGAGAGAGAGAGAGAGTCGAAATAGTAGATGAAGGAGAACCAATAAGAAAATCATATCAATCTTACAGTTATTTTCTTGCGAGATGATGACAAAAATATCTGCGTAAAGGTAAACAGGAGGAGGGTAAACGATTGCAAGTGTGTTGATTGGGAAGGAGGATTGAGATTCTATAAGAGTGAAAGGTAATCAAGACACTCCACCCACTCTCTGAGTATCAATGATCAACAGGGAGGATAAAATAAGCATCAAGTGGTAAAAGGTAAAACTTGGAGCATGAGTGTTGCATGGATTAATATTATATCCATGTTGGGATATCATCATCATCATTCATATTCAAGGAATATCAGTTTCCTTTTTTCTTTCCTCTTCTGTCTTTTTCTCTAAGAAATTCATGTAACTAAATATAGCGAAGTAAATTCATGAGGAACATCAACTATTAGGCTTGGCTTTTTCTCTTTTCTTTTTTTCCAGGAGAAAAACAATTTTTCTTCCCTAATTCTCTCATTCGAATGATAACTTTTCTTTTGCTACTAAATGTTGAAACGAAAATAAATGAAACGATAATATGAAAAGTTCTGGTGTCATGATCTTTTTCATCATTAGACTGGAAAAAGATGATCTTTCAGATTAGTATCAATTTCTGTTGATAGTCAACATCTAATTTCTGTTACCTGGTAAAAAAAGAAACACTTCACTTCAGTTGGAACTTTTTTCTTCATGATGTTTCATGATCATGGAGAAATTCATCAAAGTCTGGAAATTTTTGATCGCTTTGTAACATTTTCAAAGGTGTAGAGAAAAATTCGAACCATTTTCTTATTTTCTACAATCTTAATTGTAGCAGTTTCTTTTTTGTAATTCTATTCAAAGGTTATAATCTATTTCCAGTAAGAATTCAATCAAATTCTGTGTAACTTTAAGCTGTTGATTGAGAAATATTTCGTCTCAATCATCATCATGAAAGAGATTAGAATCAATTTGGAACTGGTCCATAAAGTTTAGAAAATAACTTGGAAAAATAGAGAGAAAAAAAAATTCTTTTCCAGTTTGTTTACAATTTCGCTTTGATTCATGGTATTCAAATGTTACCGGAAACAGTAAGAAAATTCAAACGTTTCCTTTTCTCTAGCAAATCGAATGTGTTCAAATTTAGTTCGATATTCGAAACAAAACTTTTTTCCATGGCTTACCTGAATTTCTTTCTGTTGTTTTTGAAGTTTAGCGACTAAGGATTGTTCATCTTCGAGTTTAGCGGATAATGTGGCCATTTCCTTTTCCTTTCGTTGAACGGCTCCTTCTAATTCTTTCTTGTTCTTCTCTAAATCGGCAACGGCTTCTTGAGCTAATTTAAGGTCAGATTCAATCTTTCGTTTGTTCTTCTCAACATCAGCTCGAAGTTTCTTCTCCCTTTCAAGATTATCTTCCAACTCATCTAAGGTTTGCTCTAATTTAGCCTTAACCTTATTGAGATGGTTAATCTTATCTTCGGCACCTTGTAAATCTTCAGAAGTTTTCTGAACAGATTCTTGAAGATGTTTCTTTTCCTTGTTCAATTTGTTGATCATCTCATCTTGATGAGCGATCTCATCGTTAAGGTTACGAATTTGGTGATCTTTGGTGGCTTTATCTTGTTCAGCCTTTTGAAGAGAAAGTTCAAGATCTTCAATCTCTTTCTTCAAATGGGCGATATCAGTTTCCAACTTTTTCTTTGTACCAGATAACTGGGCATGAGAATCTTCCTCGTGAGATAATCGATCTTGTAATTCCTATGAGCATGAGGAAAAAGTGATAGAAACACAAATACACACACGAAAAATTAAAAAAGGATTAAACATTGAAAGATTATCTCAGCAAATTAATAAGATGAAAAATTCAAAAGGTGACACAATAATAAAAAGGTAAACACTTTGGTTATCCACAAGAACAATTGAGTTTTCATTGTCAACTATTCACCAATTAAGAAAGGTAATATCACTTGTTGATGTTTGATTCGTTGATTAAATGATGATTTGGACACTTGGATTTGGAATAGGATTTCACAGGGAGATTAAAGAATATTGTTTGTAATTACCTGTAATTGTCCTTCCAAATCGTGTTTTTGGGACATTGTCTTTTGAAGTCGTTCCTCGACATCACCAGCACCAGATCGTTCGGATTCCAATTGAAGGAAAAGGTCATTCTTTTCTTGTAAAAGTTTAACATTTTGAACTTCAAGTTCTTTACGAAGTTTGGCTTCTTTCTCCTTTTCTTCAGTCTCCTTCTTCAATTTATCTTCTAAGGCTTTGATTTCGTCTTCAACCTTAGCCATGGTCAACAAAGGCTTAACCTTAGAATACAATTTCCACCAGAGCCAATTTCGTAGAGTTAAGAATTTACGTAGATTCCTTTGGATAACAAGTAAAGCAATTCGTTGTTCTTGTAATCGTTTGAAGGTCTTCTTAACAAACCACCATCGACACCAAGCCTGAAGCCATGTAATGATTTTACTTAACCTCTCATCTCTCATCTCCTCGAGACGACCCAAAATACCGGCTCGGAAGAAGATCTATTGACAGAGTGGGTGGAGTAAAGGGAAAAAAAAGCCCATGGATAAGGTAGAAGAGGGTGGGAAGATGGAGAAAGAAAGAGAGAGTGAGGGAGAAAAAGATGAAGGTGGTAATGGATTGAAAGGGAGACACGTACAAACATGTTAATTAGTGAAAGAGAGAGAGAGAGAGAGAGAGAGGAAAAGATGAAGTAACGGTAATAATAGGCGTTGGTTAGAGGGGCGGCCATTCATCATTATGGATCAGGAGGTGGGATCAGGATGCAGACCAGAAAAAGATTCAACATTTCAAGCAAACAGATTAGGATCAAGTTGGATTAGTATTTATAAATGTTTGTTATTTTGGGTTGAAAAGAGGGTCCAATGATTAACAGTTTTTTTTTCGGTGAAAAAATTTGTTTGTCACCATGAATATTAACATGGGGAAGAGGGAGGATTTATATTGCCAAGAAAGGTTGGATTTCAGGTTAGAATATATGAAATTTTTTCAGCAAAATTTTCCATCAGAATGATCAGTTCGTTAATGTATAGATTTTTGGTTGACAGACAGAAAAGATAGTTGGATAAAGATAGATTGAGAATCATGATGATGATGGAGGATTAGGAATAGATTATAAGGAAGAAAAAGAGAGAAAAGTAAAGTTAAATATTTTCTGCTAATCAGAGCGATCGTGATGAACATTTTTCTGTATGAATTCAATTTCTCTCATGTATAATAAGAGATGAGAAATTGAGAAACATATGAAAAGGTGATGAAAACATTTAAATCATTTTGCATATTGAGATGAAATTATCATGAGATTAAAAGTCCAAAATCAATTAGATGCTAATTGTTGCTGGTTTGTTTTTGGCTCAACTTCTTGGATAGATTAACAGTTAATCTCATGAAAATATGATATTCACATTCATCTTGATATAAACTTGAATCCATCATTGAGATAATCATACAATAGATTTAAATTGTATTCAATTATATACCTTAGTGTTTCCGAATCGGTATTCAGCTTGATCTAGATTAATGTGTTTCAGAATTTTATCTGTTGCAATTTTTGCATCAATAAATCCCTTGGGTAATTCAGTTGCAGCAAGAATAGCATATCTACAGGGTGGAGAAATGGTTGACAGGAAGTGCCAAAGTGCAGATAGGAAAGTCAATTAAAATCTAATCATAATCAACTAAGGAAAAGTTTCAGGTTTCAATGTTTACATTGGAATACAGGGAAGTTTGGTTTAAATCATGTTCGAGCATCGAGTTTGGTTCGTAAGTTTTTAAAAGTTTTTCAGTTGGTACGTTAGTTTTAGGCGACAATTATGGATAATACTAGAGAACGGAATAGACTAAGCGTTATTATTATCTATTGGGGAGTAATTTGACTTTTCGATTTAGTGAATTTCGATTTTGGTAAAATAGTAATAATTGTTTGATATTCGATATGACGATAAGTTTTACACGTTTTGCAAAACGATTCAAGTGTTTTCAGTTTTGAGAATGTTTTTCTGTTCGAGAAAAAAACAATACGTGCCTTGGTGTGTCCCAATCGGAAGTTTTCAGGTTCGAGTTGAATAGCTGCAGTTACTTTATCGGCAACTTGCTTAGCGTCAACGAAACCCTTAGGTACTGCAGTAGGAGCCAAGATGGTATAACTATTTCATTTTCGTTTGGTAAAATTATATATTCGAACAAGAGTAATTGTAGAGAAAATTAATCGTCAGTAATGGTATCGAATAATATTATCAACATTATTCATCGATTAGAATCGATGTAAAATTTTCGAACTTTCGAAAAAAATCTTCAATATAACGTCTTAAAAGGACTCGACTTATAATGACAACTTTCTAATAACTATCTTGAACATTTCGAATATTTTTAGTATCAATTGTCGCTTATTCATCTGGCTAAGTCTTCTTAGTTTAGTTCGTGAATATTTAAATTTTAACTCGACAGTTAAAAGATTCGTTATATCCGATGATCGTCATATTGATTAAGATTATGGATTATTTATTCACTTACCGTTGTTTGAAGTCAGGGTAACTCATCCTGTTGGGGAAACCTTTTCGACAAATACGAATACCTTCAAGTACACCGTTACAGGTCAACTGGTGCATAACAAGATGAGCATCAATGAAACCTGCGAGGAAAGAGTTTGATTTGTGAAATTATCTGAATCAGTAATTGATAGGAAAATGGGTCAGGTGTAAATTTGGATTTCGTTGGAGAAAAAAGCGAGCGAGTAAGGAAACGAATAAGAAAATGGATAATTTCGTGTTGGGGTTTCGTTTCGAGGGTTTCGTCATTTGTTCGAGTGGTTGAGTATCGGGCTATTTTCGGTATTTTGCGTGAATACGGAGGTTTAGGTATCGGATTCGTAAAGGAAATTTTCTATTAAATTGTTCGTAAATTGGATTGGATCGATTGTGAAAATGGTCGTAATTTTCAACATGCAATAAGACGTAAAATGGATAATGTGGGAATATATTGGTACAACAAATTGACGGAATTTGTTTCGAGTTAAATGTTTACCTGGTTTCTTCAATTCGTTAGGAATAATACATCGAATGAAATGAGGGTGAGTCGATTTCAAGGTAGTCATAAGCTTTTCAATTGTTCCTGATTATTTGTATCACGAGTTCGAGAAAAAGTTATTATATATCAACGGATTACGACGATAGGTGACGAAGATAAATATGAGAAGAAAAAAATTCGAGTTCAAACAGTTCGAGGTTAGTAAATTCATTTAGATTTAACGGTAAAATTTATCGAAAATTAATGTCGCATTAGTTTGTCGCAAGAATAATAAAGTTTTCTTATACGATATGATTAATTTAATTTCGATCGTTGTCTATTAAAGTAATTATACCCTGGGCTCTTTTTGAATATAATAAGTTAACGGCGGTACAAAGAGACGAGGTTCCTAATAGGAGACGGAAATAGTTTTCTCGAAATTTTGATAAAAGGGAAGTGTAAAGGTAAAAAAGGTCATCTAAATGTACCTGGAGTTTTAGTTTCATTGGGAATGATACACCGGATAAAATGAGGTTGGGTTGATCTTAAGGTAGTCATCAGCTTATTAAGTTGTTCCTGTAAAAAAGTTTGACAACAGTTAAGGTCAAAATATTCAAAATGATCTAACAATAGTTGATAAATTGTATCAGAACTTTCTCAATGTGAGTCTATGAGAGTAAACTATTGAATAATTTTGTGTTTCTGTGAGTGAAAAAAATAGTTATCATTGCGACAGAAAAGATGTAAGAAATGAGTAGATAAAATTGCTTACCCTGTATAAACCAGATACAGTTTGAAACCAGAACCCTTCTTACGTCCACCACCGGCTTTACCACCAGCACCTTTAGCGGCAGTTGAATCATCGGCACCAAGACCAGGATGATCAGAGAAAATCTCTACCAAAAGAGCATTAGAACCATGTTTCAATTGATCAACGACACAATCGTTAAGAGGATCCTTATTTTTCTCAAGCCATCCACTGATATTGTAAGGTACAGTTCCAGCATAATGGACCAAAGCGAAATGAGCCTCAGCTTGACCTGGTTTTGGTGGTTTGGGCTTCTGGAAGTTTGGTGATTTACCAAGATGATTGGTGTTGAGTTTATCCAAGAAAGTCTTGTCACTAGCCTTAGGGAACATACTCTCTTCCTCTAAAATTGAAAGAATACCCATAGGCTATTTTTTTTATCGATATTCAATTGGTTGTTTGAGGGGAAAAAGAGAACAAAAAGATTAATAAATCCCAAATGAATCAATACAAAATATCTCACGAACGATAATTCAACGCTCATGAGACGCTCATGAATATGAAATGGTTACGGTGAAAGTGCGATGATGGGATTAGTATAAAAACGATGATGGTCTATGTTAATGTCGAGTATGAAACGCATTTCGATTAGCATATTATTACTTTTATGAGGATGTTTCGAAAACGGTAATTGAATTTGTGGTAATATTTGTAAATGGAAAAAAGGAATCGACTAGAATTATTTCATTTACGCTAAGGAATAATTCGTGAATTTTTTGTTTCTCTAAATGGTGCAGGCATGTGATTTCTAAGAATCTAAGGATTTTCGTTGGTAAACATCGTCCAAATTTTAGAATTAAACTTTTCGCACACTAATTGTGCTCGAATGGATTTTCTATTGTTCGTATGTTTTACCTTCTCGATAAGCTCAATACAAGCTTGCAAGTCCATACCAAAATCGATGAATTCCCAATCAATACCTTCTCTCTTATATTCTTCTTGTTCGAGGACGAACATGTGATGGTTGAAAAATTGTTGAAGTTTCTCATTTGTAAAGTTAATACAAATTTGCTCGAACCCATTAAACTATTACCACGATAATTGTACAGATAGATATGTACAGCGATATATATATGAAATTAGGATAAACGATCAACGGGATCGTAGTTAATTAAACGGAAATTAACGCACATATATATAAAACATTCAACGATTGGGACATATAAATATATATGAATGAATATATTTGTTTTCATGGAAACAGAATGATGATGAAACCATGAATTCGTAGATGAAATTGAAGCGCAAGTGAAACGGAAGCGGAAGTTTATATACGATGAAATAGCGAAAAGAGAGAGAGAGAGAAAAAAAGACAAATTAGTGATTGTTGAACATTTTCTTTACCTTTTCGATAAGATCAATACACGCTTGTAGATCCATTCCAAAGTCAACCCATTCCCATTCAATTCCTTCCCGTTTGTACTCTTCTTGTTCGAGGACAAACATATGATGATTGAAAAATTGTTGAAGTTTCTCATTGGTAAAGTTGATACAAAGTTGCTCAAAACTATTGAACTATTTTCATGTCAACATGATTAAAAATAAATAATCAATCAATCAAGAATCAATTCCCCCAATGGTGAGTATATGAAGGTAATGGATAAGAAAATATTATTAGAATAGTGAAAATTAAAATTCTAAAAGTAAAATCAGTTAACCGTTAGATAGATTCAAGTAATTAATTGTTAAGTTTACTACAATTGGAGTATATTAATTGTTAGCTAAATTGGTTGAAATTAAATGTTGTTAATGAGAAATTGATTATCATTGGATTTTCTTTTGATCAATTGATTATCTTTTACTGTTTCACTTGACCATTGATCTGAATGAGTTGCTAATTGTAATTATGTGTATCCAATTAACTGTAATCAACTTATATATTACTTTTTTTTATCCCAAATTTGTTGATAAATTTAATAGAATGATAATTAATAATAATAAGTTTTATCGATTTAAACTGAACTTACCTCGAAAATTTCAAAACCGGCAATATCAAGTACACCAATGAAATATTGTCGCTTTTGCTTAGTGTCCAAAGTTTCATTGATCTTCTTGACCATCCATTTGAAGAGACGATCAAACATGGCCTTAGCCAAGGCACCAATAGAGTATGATACTTGATCCTTACTCTTACCTTGGTTGACAAACTCATTACCGACCTTAATTCGTGGTTTGCACAGATTCTTGTACAAATCAGCGGCATTAAGACCCAACAAATGAGCAACTCGTTCACCCTCTTCGGTACCATCGGCCTCAGCTTGTTCCTCTCGAGGTCTTTGCTTGAATTTCAATTCACCGAAATGCATAACTGATGCAGTGATCTTGTAAATATTGTGCTTCTTCAAGAGTGAAACCCAATACATCAAAAGCTTCCTAATCATCATTAAGATTTAAATAATATCATAACAATAAAATTTGATAGAAATAAAAATAACAATTAGTATGTCAATCCTCTTAATTGGTAAAGACAATCAAAATTGAATTACATTCTGTGTACAATAAGCGATAGCAAAAAAAGATTGACCTTAATTGCATTAGTAAATCATGAAGAGACAATAAAGTTTCAATAAACAATTTTGATTGTTATTGATTGATGTTAATTAGACAGCACAATTATCATGCAAACCAAAGACACTGGGATGTTGACACATTTAGAAGGGATTTTAAATTGAAATTGTGATTGTGATTGCTGATGGATTGGATTGAAGTGTATATTTTTTTTAGGATTTAATTATTGGTTAATTTAAGGTTAAGGTAAGAAAAACTATTGGTCAATTAATCTTGACCATTGTGTTAATAACTCACATCAGTGACCCGAAACTCAGCTGCATCGTCAAGACCTTCAATCTTAGTTTTACCTTGGGATACAAAGTGATACTTGGTTGCATCATTACCCAAAAGTAATTGCTCTAATTTAATGGGATAATGTGACAATTAACAGGTAAAAGTTAAATAAAGAAAGAGTTTGCAATGGATTAGTTAACTAATTCTATTGATTTAAAATTGGAAAATACAAATTATCAAAGGATCAAACTACGAAGTTATATTAATATAACTAAATTAATCTCTACGATTGGGAAGGATGAGTTCGATTGAGAATGATTATTATTATTATCGTTCGATATGTTAATCGGATAACAGGATAAGTTTATGTTCGAGCGAGTTCATTACGATTTTTTGGTCGATTCAATTTTCGAGCAATTTCAAGATGACCAGATAAACGGAAAGTTGTTATTAGAAAAATAATCGAAAACTAGAATATTAATCTACGTGTAATGGAAAAAGGACATTTATCGACATTCGATTGATTTACTTTCACACATTCGAAACTTTTATATAACTAATTAAGTGGTCAACGGATTTAAATCAACTTTATCGGTTTGATTTCGCTTAATTGTTTTAATCATTTGTAATTGTCGTTTAATTTTCAACTCACATCAGTAAGACTGAATTCAACTCCATCATCCATTCCAGGAATTGTAGTTTTACCCTGAGCTACGAAATGGTAGTCGGTAACATCGTTACTAAGTAAACACAATTCTGTTAATCAATTAATTAACGATACGAAAACGATACGGTGGACAATTTATCAAAATATCGAGGGGAGAGATAAAGATATTAAATCCATGTGAGTGAGAAGGAGAGAGAGAGAGAGAGAGAGAGAGAGAAAATATCAAATAAGAAAATGGATTAAGACGATTGGTAAAAACGATTTGGAAAAAATTTCTCTATGATAATCGACGAGATTAATCATCCTTCCAATGAGCTATGAAAAGTGAATCGTAACCTAATAGATTCATGATAATTTGACGATGAAATCATGATAATCTTATAATTGAAATGAACTGAAATTGGTAACAATAAATCTCTTACCTTTTACACCAGGAACGGATCCGGAAATGATTTGGTAAAAGATGTGGTATGATCGTTCAGCAGCTTGTTGGGAGATGACACGAGCCTTTCCAATAGATCTGATTGACAGAATTTAATATTGAAAAGTTAATTCAATTCTATGGTTGTGATCCATTTTCTAATTATCTCAGTTAGTAATTGTAACTTACATGTCTCAATATCACCACCAGCCAGTTTTCCCATGGGACCAAAGTGAATACGAATAAATTTACCGAAACGAGAAGAGTTGTCATTACGAACTGTCTTAGCGTTACCGTAGGCCTCAAGAACGGGATTAGTTTGGACAATTTGATCTTCCAATGAACCTTTTTTCTTGTCTTTGGCTTCTTCCTTCTTGCTTGATGCACCAACTTGGGCGAAATAAGCAATTACCTTTTTCGTGTTTTCAGTTTTACCAGCACCAGATTCACCGCTATCGTTAAGAATATTAGTTTTTTATATTAATATCGACACAAACACACAAAAGTTCAAGAGAGAAAAAAACAATCGATATAAAACCAATACTTTCGCAGATCAATATCAACCTTTGAATCAATAGAAACACTTTGCAATGTGATTGTTTCAATATGACTTTTGTCATTAGAATGATGTAAATGATTCGGATTAAAAGTCATCTGAGTTAATTTTTTTTTTGCTTCTCTCTTAATCTTAATACATTTATCCTAATCTGTTGATACTAATTTAAGGAATTTATCCTTCATTTATCCTTTTGTCGAGTGGTTTTAGTACTTAACAACTTGTAATTTCACAATTATCTCTCTATCTTTATGGTAGAGTTTAAATCTGTGTGACATACTTGATGGAGATTGTATTTGTCTATCCAATAATAAAGAAGATGATTAAGATTAAGAAGTGATGAGGATAAAGATACTGATGAAGATAGAGGATGTTACCTTAACAGAATTTTGTTTTTTTCCTCTCTCTCTCTTTCCTTAAACTCTTGGAGAAAAGCCCATAGAGTCTTTTTGTAGAAGAGGAAAAACTTTGGCTTAACTTATTTTCTACTCTTAGAAAGGAGGAGCAACAAGAGGAGAGAGAAATTGGAACTCAAGTTCCTAACTAAGAATTAACAGCGAAATTTCTGAGTTTCGCTTGGAAATTCTGGTTCAAGAGATAACTGTAAATTCTAAATGAGAGAGAGAGACTGTTTTATTTTCGAGTTTCTTTTTCTCGAGTGTTACTATTTTAGGTTAGGTTAACTCGAAGTGATTGAAGCCTCGCACAATTTGGGGCAACACTTTACAGGGAATTAGGTGTTTATGTATCACTCTCATCATCTTCAGAATCTTAATATTCTTCCTCTGATTTGCCTGTTGAATTTTGATTAAATTGGTTTCGTTGATTTGTTTTCTAATTTGCAAAAAAGCCTCGAGCTTTTGATTTGCGATTAACATCATTATTATATCAATTGTTTAATCCATTAATTAGATACTTACGTAATCAACATAGATTGATTTTCTCGGTCTGTAAGAGTGAATTGGATTTGGTAGAAAGTGGTGAGATTAAATTGTGATTAGTTAATTGTTTGGATGAGAAAAAAAAAGAAAATAATCAATTTCGATATGAAAAGAATGTATAGTTAAACTAATTGTTGGTTCTAATTATCAAATCATTGATCAAGATAAAAATACGCTGAGATAATCATGATGATGATAGAAGAGAAAGAGAGACAGAGAGATGATAAAGAAAGAGAGAAAGAAAGAGAAAGTAAGTTACAGTGTTGGCCAAATAAGGTTAACCCAAGAATTGGCAAGTTACTCTGAATTGAAACACGAATTGAAAGACAGGCAAAAAGAAAGAGAGAAAATGGAAGAGAGAGAAAATGGAAGAGAGAGAGAGAGAGAGAGAGAGAAGATGATAATGATGATGAGCGCATTATCGAAGCAATTTAAAATGAACGAAAATAAACAAAAAACTATGAAAAAGAAAATCTAATTAGAGAAAAATCAATTTAAAAAAAAGTTCTAATAAGTTTTTCCAATTTAAAACTCTAAATAAACTTTACAATATTATTGCTCGAAATTAAATGGATTAGAAAGTCTTTTCTTATATAACTATCATGATTACTTTTTGTTTAACCCATGAAAAGTTAATTATGAAGGAATTTAAATTGATGCTTTAAATTAGAACCAGGAAATTGATTGTAATCGAAGTTCTACAAGTTCGAAACTTACTTGTCAACATGTCGGTATAAGCACCGTCACAAATAGCAAACAAATGAGGTGGCATTTCACTTCGTCGTTTGCCTTGGTACATTTTGATAACTCGACCAGTATAAATGGGAAATCGTTTGTAGGGATTGATAGCAACACAGAAAAGACCAGAATAAGTCTAAAGAAAAAGGAACGAAAAACGATAAGAATATCAATCAATATCAATATCGAATTGTTAATCATAATCAATCAGTTGATTGACCACTTACATAGATAAGCTGGGCAACGTATCGCTCCCTAAGATTGTGAAGGACGGAAGCATCGTTAAGATATGTAAGATTGGACATATCCTCACATTTCTCGTACTTGGGTGGATTTACTTGTTGAAGCAAATCCTTTTTCACTTGTCTCTGTTAATCCAAATCATTTTGTTTCGAGGAAAAGTAAACATCACAAAATTGAGAGATAATAACAAATAATAAGTAAAAGAATCGATTAGTAAAAAAATATCATCAGATGATACATTTGATATCGAAAACATGTATAAACAATAATAGAACTTACTTCATCACCTTTACCACATTCGACGGTGACAATATCACCTTTGGTCGATGCGATGTTACCCAGGATGTAACACTCCTTTTCGTCGGGTACCCAGACCATTTTCTTACCATCGTAAGGTTTAGTTTGATCTTTTCTCTTTTGTTCAAGAGAAATGAAAAGATACTCAGTTGGATCTGGATCTTCGGCCATGATGATTAGTTAGAATATTGTTTAGTTAAAATTTGATAAACTTTTTGTTGCTTTTCACCAACAAACACACAGTTTTATAGTTTAAGGAACGTTGAACGTTTTCGATGATCACCACTTAAGATAATCAACAGGTAATAATTGTTAATCCGTTTGGATGTTTTCTCTCCTTTTGTTTATCCAAAAATTGTCACAAGTAACAACAACAACAACAGAAGTTAAACTGATGGAAAGAAAAGTTTTCTGTTTCCTTTTTTTCACCGAGATGAGGATAAATAGAGCTCATGGATTTTACGACAACCATTGAACATGCGATCAACATCATCTTCTTTCTTCTCTTTCTTCTTCTCTTTCTCTTTACATTTTCCCTTTTCTTCTTCTCTGTCTTCTTCTTTTCTTCTCCCTTTCCCCCTTCCCATCTCTCTCTTTCTCTCTCTCACTGGTTCTTCTAAATTCGAGCTTCCTCTTCGAAAATACTTGCGTTTCTTTCGCATCTCTCGATTTTCTAATCTGAACCACCCTCTTTTGGAAATCTCTCTCTCTCTCTCTCTCTCTCTCTCTCTCTCTCTCTCTCTCTCTCTCTCTCTCTCTCTCCCAGACTCTCGAAGGTTAAAAGTTTAATATGAATTAACATCTATCAACAGTTAAGGTAATCGTTTAATTGTTTTCCTTAATCCGGTTAGATGATTATAATAAAGTAACAATTTCCAAAGTTTATTTTCTTCTTGCTAATTAAGCAAATATTTTAAATCTATCAATTAATGTAATCAGTATATTTATTTTCTTTAGTATTTGATTTGAAAGTATTAATTGTCAATCAGTAATCGGTAGCGATGTAATTTATTTTATATTGATTGGTCATTAATCTTGACTGTCCATCAATTGAAAGAGAGATAATCATCCAAATGTAAAATGTCACTGAAAATCAGTGATTTACAATTGTGATTAAAAGGCAATCGTGAATTGGGATAATTTTTACTTGATTTATTGTTTAATAAGGATAAAGTTGATGTAGGAAGAAAAATAGAAAATGATGAAGCCTCAAGAGGTGTGATCTTTAATCTTCCCTTTCTTTTCTTTCTTTTTAGCATCCCAATGGAATGTTTTATGTCTATTATACAGTTAACTTGGTAAGATGACTTTCGAGTGACCTGGAAAGAGAGACAGAGAAGATAAAAGAGAGAGAGAAAAAAGATGAAGAAAGACAAGGAAGATAAACAAGATGATGGGGAAAAATTGAGAAATTCACAAACATGTTGCCAATGAATTGGCTTAGACTCTAGTCCATATTTAGAGGCAAAAGAGAGGAGAAAAGAAAGAGAAAAATAGGAAGAAAACACGAGAGAAAGAGAGAGAGAGAGAGAGAGAGAGACGATAAGGATGATAGGATGGATGAGGATGCAAAGAGACAATTAAAGGAGATGCTATGGGAGAAATTCCCTTTTCTCTATCTTCATCAGTTTAGAACTAAATTTTGACGAGAGTGTAAAAAAAAAGTTCGAATTAGTTCCTCCTTTTAATTATAAATAATTCTAGATGATTAAGTAACTTGATTCGAAACTTTTAATATTTTTCACGTTCTCCACACAATTAGGACATTAGGACACAGAATTTGGTCGAAAGAAATAAACCTCATTCGATAACATGTTATGGAATCTGAATATTCGATAACTTTGTCCATTCTATAAATGTTCAATTCCAATCAAATTAAACTCATTCTAGAAAAGTTCTGTCGTTCTTATTTACCTCAGTATTAGCTTTTAGCTTGTATTAAATGAAGTTCGAAATTTTCTTTCTGCTCAATTTAAACTATTATCATTTACCAATTACAATCTTTTCTTTTCTCCTAGTAAATGAACTTTTTCATCTTCAGAATCGAAAAAGTTTAAATTACTAATAATAAAGTTATCGAACTGTAGATGATAGATTAAGACTTAGATTATTTCGCTTCAGATTGAGATGTAAATATCGTAGTAAGTTCACAAGTGGACGAACATGTTCATTCATCCAAGTAAAAACTTCCTCTTCCATTATCTTCCTTCAATGTTTATCTTCATTCTCTCTCTCTCTCTCTCTCTCTCTCTCTCTCAATCGAGTGTTAGATTCTGCTTTTAAGGTGGAGTTTATTTCCATTGAATGTTAATCATTTAAATTGCGATAAAGGTGGAGCATCAGTACACATACTTTTTCAATGTTCGAATAAAATTACGAGCAACTTGCCAATTCTCGAGTTAACCTTATTTGGCCAGACAAGAATTATCATCTTCCTCATCTTCCTCATCTCTCTCTCTCCCTTTCTCTTTCTTACTTATCATCATGATTATCTTCTCTTTCAGATTGAAATAATTTCCACCATTTAAATGATTACTTACCACTCGAAATTGATAAACTTTTTTTCCATCTCTTAATTAGTGATTAGTTTTTCTCTCTCTCTTTCTAACTCACTCATTTACTCTAATTATGAAATCAAATAAAGAAAATGGAAATTGATTTTCTTCAAACAATAATCATAACTGTATTATCTTAATTTCCCACATGATATACTTGATTAGTGATTCGGATTAATTAATCTTGATTGTTTTCTAATTCAATAGAATTGATTTTTCTTCTTATTATTATTATTACATAACTTTTTCTCATATTTACTCAACTGATTCAACTGATTTCTGGTTGAAATGGATCCTTGATGTTAATTTGAAGGATGAGGATGATAAAAGATGACAAAGATGCTCAGTTATCATTATGATTATGCAAAGAAAACACTAATCAAATGATATTATTATTATTATTGTACAAATTTCGCTAAAATTAGTAACTTTAAATTTACTGAATATATAAAATTGGTACATTATAATTTGCGAGAACCAGATTAACCCAAAAGAGAAATGGATTAAATTTTTGATAACCAGAATTTATTTGGATACGATTTGGTTAATTCTATCGCGTCTGGGTGAAGATTAGTGAAGCCAAAGTTTTCTCCTTTTATCTTGTTCATCCATTCAGAAGATAATCTCGGGCTTATCTCCAAGAAATAAAACTTGAATTCGACAGAAGAAAGAAAAAAAATTCTGTAAACAGTAATGTACATATCGAAATGTTCACAATGTTCAACATTCTCATTCTCGTCATCATCATCAACGACAACAACCATCACCTCCATCTTCATCTTGTAAAGATAGTTGAACAAATATTCAATTCTGTCAGTCAACTAATTGTGATCAAAGCGGTTACTTAGATTTTTGTATTTCTAATTGTTTTCCCTTGTAAAGTGTTTCAATTGTTGGAAAAGGTTGAATTATGAAGGATGAGAAAAATTCTGATGATTATTATGGAATCAAGTTAATCAATTATAATCTCCTGATTAATTTGATATGATTGTTGGTTGTGTTAATTTATATACAAATGATTGATGAATCGTTTTCGAATCCATGTCAATCAAGTTTACTATTAATATGTCGTTAAGTTAATTATGTCCCAATAAGTTTGAACGTTAATCAACTGGACCAATTTAACGCCAGTTTCATCTAATGTAACAATTGGCTTGATACCGATAATTATTTTCTGTTATTCAGACGATTTAGAATTTTAAATCGACAGGATTTTCAATTTCTAAATTCTGCTTTCGTATTTAACTTTTATTAACTATTAATAACTTCAAATCACCAACTATTTAGTTATATTATTGATAACAATTACTAACTATCTCTATCTTGTAACGATTTAGGATGAACATGATAATAAACATCTAAAGGGAATTGATATGAATTTAATTTCTAATTGATGATGATAATTGATTTCGATTATTTTGAAAATCTCGAGCAAAAGATCTGAGTACAATTAGTCAACTAAATTCACTTAATTACTTGAGCTAAATTCTGGGCACCGATTCCCTTGGATTGGAACAGTATTAGGAATAAATTGTGATTCGTAAATAAAGATGAGTCGAAAAATATTTGCCAGGTAAATGTTCAAATTATCGAACAATTTAAACCATTCTCTTCGATTGATCTGATGTTCTATCCTTTATTGTTCATTGTATTTTCCTTTGAGATAGTTTGTCTATTCTCCTGAATGATTGAGTTAATTGATATTCCATTTGTTTGGAATCAATTAACTTAAAATTTGTTATTAAAATCGATTTACTGTAAGAAACATCAACTTGTTACTCGGTAATAATTCAGTTCACCTTGGAACTTGTTTCGACTCTCATGCTATTCACATGTACGATATTCTTCTTGAATAAGTAGGAAATTTCACTGAAAACATTGAATTACAAGGTAATTATTGTGTATATTTCTGTATCATCAGGATCAGTGTTATCTAAATTTTAATTGTTTAGATAAACCAAATTATATGAAAAAAGAGGCAAAATTTAGTAGAAATTAATAAACAATTTACATTTATACACCATTCTTTACGAGAGCTGATTGAAACTTTGAACATTTTGTTATTGTTTATGCGCAGCCGATGCCGCTCCTTGTAATTGCTCATCATGGTTTGTAATCCGGATAATCCACCCATTTGTTGTAAAATCCTCGGATCCATCATTTTGGCTACTTGTTGATTTAATTTAGCCATTTGCATAGCATTTACGTTCTTTGTCATGTCACCTCCTTTAAAGAAACCTTTGATTCCTCCCATTTTCTTGACCACAGCGGCAAATTTAGTAAATTGTGTCAACAATTCTTGTACCTCTCTTGATGTAACTCGGCTCCTCTTGCTACTCTGATCACTCGAGTTGGTTGTTTGGAAAATAATTTAGCACCATCTCGATTATCGAGTTCACTATCACTCATTGAATCCATGATTGTCATTAATCGTTTTAATTTTGCCATAGAATCTGCTTCAGATGCTCCACGAGCCAATTCCTGTCCGAATCCGGGAATCATTTGTAATATCTGATTAAATGGACCCATTTTCATTATATTAGTAAATTGTTCATACATATCACGTAAAGTAAACTCTCCATGTTTAAGTTTCTCAATTAATTCCTCATTATCATCCAATTTAGTTCGTTTACTTTATCAATAAGACCTTCAATATCTCCCATTCCTAACAATTTAGAAACGAAAGGTTTCACTTTGAAAGGCTCGAAATCATCCATATGTTCACCAGTACCGATAAAAGTAATCGGCGAATGAGTAACCGCAACTGCACTAAGAGCACCACCTCCTTTAGCATGACCATCTAATTTGGTCACTATTACAGCTCCAATATCCACTTTACTTTTGAATGCTCGAGCTTGTGCTTCACATGCATGACCAATGGAAGCGTCCATCACGAAAATTACTTGATTCGGATTAATGGCATTGCTAATTGATAACATCTCTTCAAATAAGGCACTTTCTTGTTTATGTCTTCCACTTGTATCCACAATTATTATCTCAAAACCTTCTTATGAATTTATCAACCTTCCGCCGCTACCACTGGATCCGCTTCCGTGTATGAACCATAAAATGGTATTCGGGCTTTAGTTGCATTCTGTTTAAGTTGATCAAATGCTCCAGCACGAAAAGTATCAGCACAAACCAGACAACATTTCCATCCTTTTCTCAGATAATAATAAGCCATTTTTGTACATGTTGTTGTTTTACCAGCACCTTAATAGTTGTAAATAATTAGTAATTAGTAATTAGTAAATAGTATTATCAATACATTTTCTACAACAATTGAATCAATCAATACACTAAATTGTTACCTTGAAGACCTACAAACATGATTATGTTTGGCTTTCCTTTTGTTGGTTGCCAAGCTTTTACTCCAGGATCAACTAATTTGACTAATTCTTGGAAAACGGCCATTTGGATCATCCGTCTTTTATTAAGACCTGCGGCCATTTCATCGAAATCAATAACTTGACGGACATTTTCTCGCAATTGTTTCACCAATCGTATATTAACATCACCTTCCAGAAGAGCTTTACAAATCTCTTTCAATAAACTCTCCAAAACATCTTGGTCAATAATCGTCGCATTTCCAAGTGAACGTAAAGCATTTGTTATCTTACGTCCTAAATCTGCTAAAACCATTTTTATTAATTAACAAAAAGAAAACAATTATAACTGTAGATTAAATAAATTACAAATCACATTCAAAAAACCAAATTAAAAACATGAAATTTTGACAATTTTGAAAACCAAAACAAGGTAAACAAGATCAGCGACATCTAGACTTTGATCAACGAACAATAAAAAACAATCAACACAAATTAATCCAATTCTCAACAATTAATTAATTTATAAATTAAATTCCGATCCTCAATAACTCGGAACAATTTCCATAACCATAAAAAAAATCTAAATTCAACAATTAAATTCCAATTGGAAAACAATTGATCATTTGAAATTCTTTCTCAAACAGCGTCACCTGTTGGAAGAAAAAAGAACCAAAAAGAAGTGATCCCATGCCCTTGTTCAAGAGCATTCGCATTCAAATGTATTGATTGAAGGCCTTTTTTTGTTTGTGTGTTTGGGTCTTAATTAGATTTGATTAATTGTTTTTTTTTGTTGGTGGTTGTTAATGAAAAATGTCTATTTTACACCTTCGACCGACTCTACAACGTGAAATAATTAAACTATTACGATGTAAATCTAATTTTAAATTATCTTCTGCTAGTTATTATGAATTTAAAGATATCATTGGTAACCGGGAGATAGTTGGTTATGGTAATGATGGTCAACCTTTTTATTATGATCGTCTTAATCAACCATTTCCAGCAATTAGATTTAAGGAAGATTCACCTGATATGTTAGCATTAAAAGAGAAAGAAAAAGGTGATTGGAAATCATTAACCATAGAAGAAAAGAAACAATGTAAGTATCAAAATTCTCTTTTCTCTATTTCCTCAAGTATCAGAATATAGAGAAGAAGAAGAGGAGAGAAAAGAAGAAAAGAAAAGAGATTTTCTTTTTTGTTTACTAATTTTCTTTTTCTTTTTCTTAATTGTTCTCTTTTTTTTTGGTTCCATTTTTTTTGGTCCACTTTGTCTAGTATATCGACATTCATATTGTCGTACATATGCTGAATTAACAGCACCAACTGGTGATTGGAAACAAGTGATTGCTGGTATTCTTGGAATTGTTGGTTTGACTTTTCTAGTTGTTGTTGGAGAGAAAGAGTTTCTTTTTCCACCATTACCCGAGTCTATGAATGAAGAAAATACCAGGAGGTTCATGAAGTTTGCTCTTTTCAACAGAATAGATGAATTTGATGGATACGCATCTAAATGGGACTATGAAAACAATTGCTGGAAGAAATAAATACACAAACACAACAACAAAAACAATCTAAATCATCTCTCTCATGTAATGTTAACCTTTCTCGTCGCCAGTTTTATCTTAAAGATCATTTTGAAATCTTAGGATCCAAAAGATCAGAAATCAAGTTTCAAATCCAATAACTTGAAAGAAAATGTATTGTTAAATTTAGATGAAAATACTACTCATGGAATTTATCGATTCTTGATGATTACACTAATAAATGGATGGTCATCTTTAGTCTCTCATCAACCTAATTATCCAAAGTGTTTATCTACCATCAATCGAAATACCAAGATTGACTCTAATGAAGATTTTCCTTCGAGCAATCAATTCAATTGATCAATCGCCTAACGAAACTCAGTTAATTACAACCAATCTCTTCTCTGTTTACTATAGCCTTTAATCTAATCTGATAGCAATTAGATATCTATAAGATAATCATAATACAATCAAAGATTCAATTCTCAACTAAATTAATCTGATATTAATTTTTGAGAGAAATCAATTCCAGTCAAAGTTTTCTAAATGATAACCAACCATTTACTTAATCAGGTGAATTGAATTGTATCTAAATTGACATTTGTTAATAATTCATATTCCCAATTAATTAAGAAAAAAATTAGATTAATTGTTATGAATTGAAAATAGTCCAATTAATCAATTGATTGTCTAGCATAACCATTACGTGATAACTATTTTCTCGTGTTAATCAATATAATCAAATTTGAATCAGTTCAATTAAACAATCAACATTTCATTTCACGTTTATATTAATAACTATGAAAGTATCAAATTATTTTCCAAGTCACGAACAAATTTTAAACACAATTAAGATCACAATTATTCAAGAAAATGTCTTATTACATAATAATATCAAGTAAATCACCAAGCTGATAGTCATTTGAAACTTATTGATTAAGTTATTAAAAAATTGATCAACTGATCAATCAACAATTTTCAATGGTCTGAATCAATAAGATTGTAAAAAAAATCTCAGCGTTTTTAGTTGATTATTTTACCAGTTGAATGTTTAATTGTAACAATCTAATTTAACCTGATAATGTCTACTGGGAAAATTTGCCTAATCAACTTGGACATTGAAAGGATTCGAAGCTGTTGATTAGGTTAATTAACAAGCTATTTAGATTGTGATTAGCCAAGTCGAAAGTATTTCGAAAGCGGCCAAAACTTATCAAAAGTTTTCGAATCGTTTTCGAGTTTCCGTTCATCTTTCGACCAGTATGATATTGATCGAGTTCCATATGTTACACCTCAAGTTGTGGCTCGAAATTATCAATCATCTAGATCAATGATGAATTCAAGATGAATTTGATCTGATCAATTTATTCGTTCGATACATGATCAGTCTCGTTCGGTTCCTTAGTTGATCCTTCCATCACCGATGAACGGGTACAAACCTATTTGACCGATTTTATGTTCCGGTCAAATTCAGTTTTAGTAAACTCATTCGAGTTTCGATGAGAATAGTTAATTAACTTTCTCTTGACTTATTGAGCGAGGTAAAGTTTATCTACAATTTGTAAACTTATGCAATTATGACCTTCGATTAGTGAACTAAACATGGTATTGTTACCGGTGGTCAGTACCTTTGGATGTTTACCTTATTCAATAGCACCATGTAAACGCAGTGTTTACGATACTCGGTCGGTGAGGAGGTACTTTCTGAGGCTCTATCGTGCCCACAAGAGTGTATTTCTAGTTATGGTAAAAAAATCTGATTCTGGTAAATTTTTTGGACAAAAATCTTATTCGTTTTTTGAACCTTACGATATAATGGCCGAGATAATGACCAATGGGCCAAAATGTTAATATTTTCCGATTTCTACAATTATAAATCGGGTTAGTACATTTTATCCTATCAAATTTAGGTAGAAATTTACTAATTATTATCATCATTTTTGGTGTTTATCAATATGAAACTGGTGAATGGCTTGGTTATCATACTTTTAAGATAATTGGTTTGTGTAATGATAAAGGTATTGATTATTGGTTAATTGCTAATACCTGGAATATCAGTTGAGGCGATGAAGGTAAATCAGTTGATTGTTTAATAATCATCCACTAATTGTAATCTTTTTATCCATCAGGTTTCTTCAAAATCAAACGCGGTGAAAATCAATGTGACATTGAATTTTATGTAATTGCTGGACAACCGATGAGAAAATATTTGATTGTTATAAGTTATGCATTTCCTTTTCCTGTTAACCATATGTAAATTGGCTGAGCTAACTAAATAAGTGCTAACGATGGAATAACCATGATATTTTCTTTTTTCAATTTACTAATTATTTACATATATTCTGGAGTAATTCGCGTCCAAGAGTTTAGCAATTGCGATTCTTAAAGAATCCACGATTTTTGGCCTGAACATTTCAATGACGGAAACATAAATAACTTGATAGAAAGAGGATGAAAATTTTTCCTTTTGATATTATACTTAAGTTAGCGGAAGTTAGCTAAAGAACTTGATGAACTTGATGACAAAATCGTTATTATTAATTTTCTCCACTTTATTATATCCCGAAATCAGGTCACGTCGAACTCGGAACAAAGTTCTGAACAGATTAACCTTTATGTTTATAAATATTATGACAATCGATTTGTTAATAGTGAAAAGGTCGTTTTTCGTAGGTTGTTAGCGTTCGGTGGCGGTAATGACGATAATCTAATGTTCAGCACATTCAATTGTCATTTCGATTACAATTAATCTTTACATTTTATGATCATGATCATTGGGTACGATTCATTTTTCAAAATAAGACTTGAATTGATCAATAATTTGTCCAATTACATTTCTAATATTGATTTAAATAAAAGTGTTACAACCAATTTTAATGATTAATTGCCAATGATGATGAATATGAACCAATTGCTTTTTCAAATTGTAATGATTAACATAATTTATCAACGGAATAATTTAATTTTTCAAAACTGAGACTATGGTTCTTATTATTATTCACGTTGACGATAATCCATTTCCGAGATTAAAGATTAGAGATTTGCATTTTTTTTGTAAAACAATTGACTTTTTACAATTTAATTTATTGTATTTCTATTGACTACTTTGGGCAGCATCTAATTTAATGATCAGGTTACAAAATGGTAACACTCGATCATTTGTTAGTCGTTGATAACATTGCATGAGAGATGATTTAGATTGTTGTTGTTGTGTTTGTGTATTATTTCTTCCAGCAATTGTTTTCATAGTCCCATTTAGATGCGTATCCATCAAATTCATCTATTCTGTTGAAAAGAGCAAACTTCATGAACCTCCTGGTATTTTCTTCATTCATAGACTCGGTAATGGTGGAAAAGAAACTCTTTCTCCAACAACAACTAGAAAAGTCAAACCAACAATTCCAAGAATACCAGCAATCACTTGTTTCCAATCACCAGTTGGTGCTGTTAATTCAGCATATGTACGACAATATGAATGTCGATATACTAGACAAAGTGGACCAAAAAAAATGGAACCAAAAAAAAAGAGAACAATTAAGAAAAGAAAAGAAAAGGAAATTAGTAAACAAAAAGAAAATCTCTTTTCTTTTCTTCTTTCTCCTCTTCTTCTTCTCTATATTCTGATACTTGAGGAAATAGAGAAAGAGAATTTTGATACTTACATTGTTTCTTTTCTTCTATGGTTAATGATTTCCAATCACCTTTTCTTTCTCTTTTAATGCTAACATATCAGGTGAATCTTCCTTAAATCTAATTGCTGAAATGGTTGATTAAGACGATCATAATAAAAGGTTGACCATCATTACCATAACCAACTATCTCCCGGTTACCAATGATATCTTTAAATTCATAATAACTAGCAGAAGATAATTTAAAATTAGATTTACATCGTAATAGTTTAATTATTTCACGTTGTAGAGTCGGTCGAAGGTGTAAAATAGACATTTTTCATTAACAACCACCAACAAAAAACAATTAATCAAATCTAATTAAGACCCAAAACACAATCAGCAAAGTAAAACCGAAAGGCCTTCACTCGTTTTGTTTCAGCTGACTTAACAGCCGCTCCCATCCATTGGATGGCCCTCTCATTGAGGGTCGACGCATGGTCTCCAAGCTTATCTTTGTATTACATCACCGCGCTCTTTGATTTTCTCAGCAATTGTCTCTAACTTGTTGATTATTAGTCTCCAATTACGCCGTTTCAGTTGCCACCCAGTTTTTGGAAAGTAGTCCTTGCACTTTATTAGATGTAGTTCTGACATTGGTTCATCGCATGTGTGTGTAAGATTGTGTATTCTCGATTTTATTAAACAAATCAGTCTCATTAATTTTTTTTGATAAAATAACTTTCTTCTTATGATCGCAATCGTTGTTGGATTGTTCAATATTTCGCTCAGTAATCCTTTCTTATTCCTTGTGTAGATTTCTTTCTCAACTTTCATTAATCTTCGTTTAATCATTTGTTTTATCTGATTGGTTGTCTTCATGATTCTCAATTCTCTGTATATTTGATGTTCACCATCACATTGTCCCATCTCATCAAGTCTTTTATGTATAATCATCGCTCCTTGTACAAGATTCAATGTTATGGATATCATCTTCACGTTTGTATTCACAATTATTTGTTCTTTGTCATGCTCAGGTTCGTGAATTAGGTTCTTAATAATAGTAACAATCGCCATTTGATCATCGAACGCACTTTCTTTAGATGTTAAACAATAATGCTCATGCATTTGTCCATTCGTCACACAAGCTTTGTTTTCAATAATCTTGATTTCGAATGAGTTTCTTCCATTCCATTTCACTTTTTCCTCTAGTGGCCAGTTATTAATTGGTTCAATCCAATGGACTCTGATGTCTTCTGCCCATCTTACGACGGGAAAGAGTTTTTCATCAACTTCTTCTTTCCATAGTAACATTATCAGATTCGTAAAGTAATTAATGAATGGATTCGGTATCTCATGAAGCCATTCAAAGAAAGAATCTTTATATTGGGCTTTCATCATCCATTCACGCTGCGTTACTCGGCGGCCAACTTTCATCAAGGCCTCAATTCTGTATTTATAGAGTTCAAATCTCACCCATGGTGAGAGTCCAATAGATAACATGATGTGAGTCAAATGTGAACCAATAACGATCCTTGCTTTCGGTAACCTAAGATTTTCTAACAGTAATTTTTGCATAATATTAATCTTGCTTTTGTTAGATAGTTTCTCTATTAGGCTTTCCATGTTAGTGGGGAACTTTATATCGTAACCAAGAATATTGTCCATCGTCTTTGGATTGTTGAAGTTAATAATCTTTGTTTTAGTTCTATTACATTCTAATCCAATCAATAGAAATGCATTTGCAATTTCTTCTTCCGTCGTTTTCACATCATTCGTTAATATTATCAAGTCATCAGCAAAGGAGAAGACAATTTGACTGTCTGTTCTCCTGTTTAACCAGCGAATCGTGTTATCAATACCCATTATAAAGAGTAACGGGCCTAGACCAAATCCTTGAAGGGCTTCTTCATCGTTTACCATTGTTATATTGCCTCTTTCATATAATCTAAGTTTTCTTTTAGAGATGAATTGTAATATCATTCTTCTTGTTTGAATTTCTAGACCTTCTAATTTGCTTCTAATGGTTGTTCGATCAAGCTTATCAAAAGCCTTCGTAAGGTCCATCATCAACACGCAATTATAATTTTGGTAATTTTCCCAAATCTTTAATAGCAGTAGCTGTCTATCTTGGCCCATATACGCAAATTGATAGTCCAGATCAACTATTTGATTCATGAGCACCCATTTTTGCAATCTTTTAACCAGAAGCATATCCACAATTTTTCCTAGAAAGCATTGGGTTCTAACAATCCGGAAGTCACCATTGGGTTTTGGAATCTTTGTCCCACCAGATACAAGAAGTTGATTCGATAAATGCTCGTCTGAAAAGTTCATTCACCAGATCAATTATCCTTGTCTTATTCTCTCGCCATATTTTATTCCATCTATTCTTTGTAAAGCAATCGGCCCAACCAGAGCTACTTCCGAATCGTTCTTTCCTTTCCAGTACCAATCGTTCCTCCAGACTAATACCTTCAAATATTGACTCAGGAATCAGAACTCCTCTAATTTTCTCTCTGGGTATTAAGAAACTTTTCCTGTTTATCGGATCATTTTTCATTCTTCTTCCGATGTCTTTTCTTTCCGCCATCAATTTGTGTATCGCATCCAATGGAAGATCACTAGGCAAGTTTCTCTTGGTTCTTTTATATTGTCTAAGAGTCTCAGTGAGCGCCATCTTGTTTTCAATCGTTGCCATTTTAATTTTTCGCTTTATTCTTCTTGTCTTTCTGTTGTCATTCGATTGCTTTCGTTTTGTTCTGGCCTTTCCAGCATTCATTATATTACAAATTTTTACTTCAAGAGACAGCGATTCAATGTTTATTACTTTGTCGTACACATTTTTCCATCTGGTTTCATCAATTTTCCGATTGAATTTGCATTTTACATTGGCAGAAATTACCAAATGGTCCAGATTCGGCCTAGATTTGAATTCAACCCTTTTGTCGAACACTTTTTTATTTACAAGTAAAATATCGATCATTGAGCCACCACCATCAGTCGTCGCACTTTGCCTTGTTACACCTTCACTTCTGCTCGTAGGCAACACGCTCACAAAATTCTTTACCTTCAGAGTGTTTTCCAATTCCTCCAGAGTTAGTTTTTTCGTTGATTTATCCTTCCTCGGTTCATCACACCATATTCTGAGTTCACAGTTAACATCCCCTGCTATGAATGTTGTCACATCAGCTGGCAGTTCTTTTATCGCCTCAACCAGGGCATTTAGGCACTTTACATTGTTCGGATGCGCGTACACTGCCAAGATATTTACCTTCCATTTCCCCTTTCTCAGTGTAATCATCAATATGCTCTCGTCAATCAGAACCTCTTTAATCGGTATCCAGTTGGCTGGCCAACTTACACTGATATTGTTGCCTTTGAATTGGTTTATTCTCATGGTTACATCAGCATCTTCACTTGCAATTACAATCGTGTCCTCACCCATCATTTCACTGATAATTTGTTCACTATTTCTTAATCTTCGCAAGTTTATTACCGTTATTTTCACCTCCATTATCAATTTTGTGATGAAGAAATGAGAAGCACTTTAGTTTTGATGATCTGTTTTTCTTGTTGTATAGCTTTATTGTCAATTAAATGTAAGTTTTTGTTACAGATTTTAGTATTGATAAAAGAAAGAGTTCACAATAGCTAAAGAACGTTCATCTTGCAGGTCACGGACAAATAGTTTCTTTTCACCATCAACTTGATTGAACATTACAAATTCTTCACAA